TTGCGCACAAAAAAAAGAGAAAGTGTGTATGTACCTCCAAGTGCCTGGACAAAAGGTCTGGAAGTTTACACACCAAACTTAACACTGGTTTCCTCTAAGGAGGGGTGTAGAATTTTGGTGAGGGGGTGGTACTGAAAGGGACCTGCACTTTTTACTCTGTAACTTCTCTCTGAGTGACTTTACCCATGCCCTATCGCTTTTGTAAGTTTCAAAACAATAAGAAGGTGTGAGGGAAAATGTGGCATTTAACGCAAAGTATATACACAGAACGTGTCTTTTCCTGCAAGCATCTAACGTGTCTTGTTAAACATTTATCTAATGAAAAATCCATTTAGGGGTCAATGTGATCACCCACTTTCTTCAACCATTTATGTGCTAATGAGAGTTATTTTCCACAAAACAGAAGTTTCAGCCTGTAACATTAATGAACTTTATTCACATTTTTCCAAGTAACTGCAATATTCAATACAAGCGAAAAGCAATACATAGTTCTTAGAAAACACAGCCCCAAATTCCCACTGCCTGAGCCTTGTGATGGTAAGTGCCCAGCCTTTGTTCTTCAGAATGTTAAAGTGAACGCAGTGCTCAAAATAAATATACAATAACAACACAGGGAGACTGTTCTTAAACACAGTTTTGCTAATTATAAAAGAAATCCAAAAAGAGGCCTCTACCGTCTTCACTCAGGTGTCCTGACTTTCAAAATGGAAATAAGTAATAAGACGAGCCGCTTTTCCCCCTCTCACACTAGCAGGCTGGAAGGGAGCAAATCTGGACCCAAAACCTAGACGTCACTCCTTGCACAGAATTTGGTATTAAGCACACACCTTACATTGAAGAGCTCCCTATTCATCCTATTGTACAAAATCCATTTCAAATACAAGGTCACACTTTTAGGATCACTTTTTAAATATAATTTAGCTGATCACAAGACTACAGTAAGAACCTTATAAGTCAGGCATTGACAGTTTGATCCCAAACCAACTACAGAATCAGACTGTGTAAATATTAGCACCATTTTTTATCTAGTCCAGTGAAATGTAAAACTATCCACTAAACTATTTTCTACTGAAGGAGTCAACAAGGAAAGTTGTTTTTACTTCTAACATGTGCTTGGCCTCTCTCCCTCTTTGCCAATAATACGTTTGAACACTTTATCAAGTACTAACCTTCCGTTGATAAAGTTTACGCCCAGCACAGCCTTAGAACTCAAAAGCCACCTTTCTTTTGTGCAGTTCAGATGGTTGAGTTTATGTGACCCAGTATACACACCTTTCAGGTTACTAGCAATTTACATTTGATGAATCAGTGACAAAGCTACTTCATAAGAAGCACCACAAACGTGTGCTCACGACAAGTTAATTCAGATAACCTATGCCCTATTTTACTTTCAGTAAACTTGAAAAAATGTATATAAGTGCGTGGAAATTTTCTGACGGTAGGGGAGTGCAAGCATTTTGACACCTCCTAAATAAGAGCGATCTTTTAGGTTTTAAAAGCAAGGAAACGGACAGAGTCCTGTTTAGTCCTCACTCACCTGGGTCCAGTAGAGGCATTCAGGTGTTACTCAATATTCTATTATTGCTTTTAATCAAAGTAACACAGAAAACATGTTTATGGCAAATTGTTTTAATTAAGAACTTAAAACCAAAATTTTAAAAAGAGTCTTATGTAGCAATTATTTTATTCTATATTTTAAATATCACTGGATTCTCAGTTTCAAACTTTGCAACATGATAGGTCATTTTAAACTACCTTGACGTCTTATAAGTTGTCCAAAGAAATGGGAACATGATCACAACATCAGTTTCTAGAATGAGAAGGAAAAAGGACATCAAATTGTTACAACTTAAAAAATTTGGGGGGCTTTCCTGGTGGCACAGTGGTTGAGAGTCCGCCTGCCGATGCAGGGGACACGGGTTCGTGCCCCGGTCCGGGAGGATCCCACATGCCACGGAGCGGCTGGGCCCGTGAGCCATGGCCGCTGAGCCTGCGCGTCCGGAGCCTGTGCTCTGCAACGGGAGAGGCCAATTTTGTAGGCTTAAAGGACAGTCTTTACCCCTAAAGAGAGAAAAAAGTAAAGAAACCCTAACCAACTAATGACTTGGACATAGGAAGGGAAATCACAAGTACTTCATATTGACTCATTCATTGTTCATGCACATTAAAAGTACTTTAAAAATTTTATTCATTTGTCCTCTACTTAAAAATGGGGAAAAATTGGCCAGCATTGCCCTCTAGGTTCTTCCAGATCTGCATCTGGAGTTTGCGGTAATAAGTAAGCACATTGAATATGAGTCTGTTTTCTAAAGGAGAGAGTCTGGCTTGCTCAGAGCCTCGAAGGGTCGGGTTTCTAAGACAGTCCATCAGTGTGGACCCGAGCTACTCCCCTCGGCCTCTTCCTAAGATTGTCAGCTGCAACGGGAATGGAACGCCAGAGCCAGTGGTTGAAACTGAACATGCAGGAAGTGATTTTACAGTTTCCACCATCACGACGCCACAGGAATTTCATCTTCAGGTACCTGCAGTGTTTAAGGACTATAATAACAGCAAGATTCACCAGAATCACTAGCGAGGTTGTTTTGGACAACACACAGACCTTCTTCGTACTAAATATACATCGCAGTGACCGGGAGAGCTCACGATGTATTCACCTAAAAACAATGCAAATATTTTAAAAGGTTTTTTTTTTTTTAAAAAAAAAGCTCATGATTTTCAGTATGAGTTTGCAAACCTTAATACAGTGATGTAAGATGATACCGTGTGAAGACTTTACATGGAATAAAACGCTTGTGTTCTAAAAACTGACCGTAATACTTCAAAGACCCAGAGTAAAACTGTCAAGGAGATGCTCAAACTCACATCAAACACCAGATTTTCATTCACATCTGCACGTGCTAAGCTGGCCAAGTACTTCCTTCTCTCCTAGGAGGAGTTCACCATTCATCCTTCCTGCAGGTTCCTGTCTCTCCTGGATGGAAAGCAGTGTTTCTCAAAACCACTTTCTACCACGAAAGCAAATGTACTAGAGAGAAGGAGCACTTCGTTTACACACATCTCTGCCCACGCACACGCCAGCGTCCGCTCGCGTTAGGTCCTACACAAGACCTACCGGCTAGGAACCTCGGAGGAAGGTATTTCAACCAAAAGTCTGAACGGTGTACATCATCAAGGCTTTGCTACTGGGGAGTTCTATGGAGGAGAAAGTAGGGGTGGTCCACATCTCTAATGGGTGTCTTAAAAATCTGGCCCCATCCCCAACGAGCAGGACAGTTACATTCTAAATGTCACTGCCAAGCTATCAGAAAGGAGGCAAAGGTCCACAGCGCATGTGTGTCAGAAGGCCAGACTGCAAGCAAGTGAACGGTACCCATTATGCGTTCTTAAAAAATCTCACAATAAAAAGGGACAGTCTTTGACTCAAAAGAAACCAGTACTACTTCTAAACACACTGCACTGGTACTTTGCGTACTGGAATGCACCTGAACTATTAAACTATTAATAAGTGCCTAGATGACAATTTAAAGAGAAAACATGACCCTCACCCAGCCCAATAATTCTTAAATATCACGGTCCACGTGAAGTGGTGCTGAACTGAAATGCAAAAGAAAGTGAACTGTTAGGAACTACCAAAGCTCTACTTTCACTATACGTGGAATCAGTACTAGCGTTGAAACTCACTTTTAACGTGATATTCTTTCACAAAGAAATCTACACAGAAGGAAAATGAGTCTTCTGCCGCAAGCTGGCGTGATCTTACCAGCTACGGAATCTCAGAAGTCGTTCACAACAGGAGCAACATGGGCTCCACCTAAACTGAGGGAAGATACTGAAGTTAAGAATCTGTAAGCCATTTAAAGGCATTTGGTGTCAGTATCTTAAAAGATTAAGATGCTTTAAAACAAAACCCTTATAAGAGTATCAAAGATTTAGGGAATTCTCATAAATAACCAAATGTCTATGGCTTTCAACGGTCACCCTACTGCTGAGGTAGGTGACCAGGATTCATCAAAAGAGACAATCCTTTGGAAATTCCCTAAGAAAAATCTTGCATAATCAGTTGGTTTCTTAAACCTGTGTCCAGTTTCTTTTGTTTTGTTTTTTCCTTTCTTTCATTTACACTTTTTAAAAGAGGTTGTCTGAGCAACTGTCCCTCCCCTCAAGCTCTGGCGGAGTAGCATCTCATATACTCCGTCATCCACGGGTTCTCCGACGAGGCAGGCTTGACCCGCCTGTTTTTGTCCACGTCGGCGGAGTGAGCCCGCTGCCTCTGAGCCGCCAGCCGCCTCTTCTCCACCTGCCTTCTGCTCTTGGCTCGCAACGCCGATTCATGAATCTAAGGGAGTCAGAATAAACAGACACTCACTCAGGTGGCTTTGGCGCTAATTTTCCAGAACATTTACAATGAAGCTTCCCCCACGTCACCTGGAGCAGGGCAGAGGCAAGCCAGACTCACCATGTTCAGGACTTCTGTGTATAAAGGCTTCTCCAGAAGAGCCACTGCCCTGGATTCTGTCTTACCCATCGTCGGCAATAAAGAAACTAGGCAACGGAAAATGACCACCGGACTAAATTTCAGATATAAATGGTAAGCAACTAATCTGCAGGTGCCTCGAGAAACTGGCTCTGGAATATTACTGGGACTCCTTAGCATTAAGCATGGGTCAGTATTCCATTGAAGGAATTTAAATGTTTTACAGGGACTTCCCTGGTGGCGCAGTGGTTAGGAATCCACCTGCCAATGCAGGAGACACGGGTTCGAGCCCTGGTCTGGGAAGATCCCACATGCCGCGGAGCAGCTAAGCCCGTGAGCCATGGCCGCTGAGCCTGCGCTCTAGAGCCTGTGAGCCACAGCTACTGAGCCCATGCACCGCAACTACTGACGCCCGCGTGCCTAGAGCCCGTGCTCCACAACAAGAGAAGCCACTGCAATGAGAAGCCCGCGCACTGCAACGAAGAGTAGCCCCCACTCGCCGCAACTGGAGAAAGCCCACGCGCAGCAGCGAAGACCCAACGCAGCCAAAAAATAAAAAATAAATACTTACAAAATAAATAATGTCTTACAGCAAAATACTAACAAATCTCAAAGGATTTTACCAGCTAAGACGTTTAATGAACCCTGTTCAACTTAATCCCACCGGGTTGCCAGAGGACAGCTCTGTTGTCTCAAATATCACTCTAAACGGCACCATCTGCTAGGGCTCAGAAGTCTGTTCGGTGAACAGTGGATCCTGGTATTTAACCAGAATTCAAACAGCCTGAACTTTCTGCTGCTTTTCATTCCCTCTTTGCTTTGGGCTGGAGTGACAGTGTTAGTGCTAACACAGTCATTGCTTTGTGGCTCCACACGTGAGGCCCCCTCATCTGCCGTGTCCTCAGGCCTTCACACAGGGACACTCCAGGGCTGAGTCCGAGGAGAACCAGACCTCCGGGGGATGGATGAGCAGGGGAAACGCAATCACTCTAATTTAATCCAAAGAGAAAACGAGAGTCTAGAGAGATGTCGAGAATGCAGGAGATGTGATCTAACAGACAGACAGTAACAAAGGGGTCAAGGGGATGGATACCAGTTATCAAGGCTGATGGAGCAGGGGCCTCCCGGGAGGCCAGAGGCAAATCTAGACGGGCAGCCGCCAGCCCTGCCCATGCCCCTCGGCTGCACCTCCTGGCCCCCCAAGAACTTGAGAACCCCGAGTCCTGGCACTTCTCCGCCTGGCTCGGTGTCGGTAAACCCTTCCAGGTACCAGCAAAACCCCCTGACCTCCAGGCAGCTAACATCCTGCATCCTGTTTGCAAATCAGATGCCCAGTTCTAGGCTTTCCTTGGGCCACCTAAGACCTACCATGTCCCAAAGCATCACAGTGACCACAGGGTATGACAGCCAATGACAGAAACGAGGCCATCCCCCATCCTGCAGGGGGAAAGCAGAGAAGCCCGTTCGCTGGCACCCACCTCATGCACGGGGGCAGAAGCACAGACGTTGTGAGTTTTCTGGCTCCCTGTATCCGTCTGCTTTTCTCCCCACCCATAAAGGGCAAACGGGTGCTTAGGTTCTTTTATTTTAGTTGATGACCTTTGAGGACTCTTGACCGCTCTCCTACTTCCTCTGGCAGGTAAGGCACTTGGTGGTGGCTGAGGTTCGGTACTGCTGGGTAATTTGTCAGGCTCTCTGGTCCTGATCTGTCGTTCAGGTTTTTCTTTTATGTCTTTCACTGGCAGTGCTTTTTGGAAAAGGAGATAAAACAAGATGAATGCTTTAAATTCTGGTTTACATATAATTACATATGATTTAAATATTTGGGATGAAAAATTCATAATGCTTAATAAAGTCAGTAACTTTTTCACTTATAGCTCAATTCACAAGTTTCACTTAAAACGGAAGGACAGAAACACGTTAGTATAATAATTTTCAGTCCATCCCATTTTAACATCAACAATAAATACACCAAGATTGAACCGAGCCTATTCAAAAGTTACAACTGTCAGGTCACTCGCATTCTGAGATTAAGCATCTTAATTAAATACTAAAAGCTAGACAGCAGCTCGGCCTAATGGCTTTCCCCAGGAAAAGTCCAATCATCTTATCGTCTTGCTTCAGGGGCAGATCTGGACCTGTGACAATCATTCAACAGCTGCAAAAGGTTCGTCTTCAAATTACTCAACTGGAGCTCCAGGACTGCATTTCTTTGTGAAGCTCCATGATTATGGAAAACGCTCCTTAGTTTCAAAAGCCCTCCATCACAATAGGGAGGGTTTCCATAGCTTACACACACACACACACACACACACACACACACACACACACACACACACAGCTGGGCGCCCCCAGTGTGAGCATCTGGGAAGGGGGCTCTTGTTCTTGACGTGAACCAGGGCCCCTGGTCTACACAGTCCTAAATCTCTCAGCGGGGCTGGGGAAACTCCAGTGGGGAATAGACTGCCCGCCTGAGGTGAACTCAGATACTAAGAACACAGTCCAAAACGTAACTATTTCCCTTTTACCCTTCGTGACTTTCCATTCATTATTTTTATAAGCACTTTATGATCTTGCAAAGGTTGTATTCTTTGTGTAAACCCCTAGTGAACCTGCGTTTCATCTCAGACTAAACTTATGTGCGAACAAGAGCTCCTTGTGCATCCAGGCTCCACTTCACAGACCCCCTTGTTCACATCTGTGGGAAACCCCTCGTTTCCGAGGCTCCAGAATTTGGCTCTAGGTGATGATTTTCCAGCTTGTTATTCCCAAACCCCATCACTTTTAGGACACACCCGGGTCCCTCACCCCTTTAGTGGATCCTTCCCTGCAGACATCCACGTCCCCGTGGAAGTAGAGGTCCTCACACAAAATGCACACGTGTGAACCCTGACAGATCACCGTCATTTCTGTCTTCTGCAATGACCCTGATCTACCGAATTGTTTCATTTATTGCTAAGCATTTTAGGGAGCAGACAGCCTGCGTCCGACCCTGGGGCTCAGTGCTTCGCACCCCCGTGCGCCATATCCATAAACCCAGCCCTGTGCTGCCTGGGGGTGAGGTGAGATGCCCGCCCTCCACTGTATCACGAGAACCCAAATCCACCCATCACTCACACACACTCCTCTGAGTGATGTGTCCACACCTCGTCCGCTTCTCGTCCCTGGATGTAGGAAAAGAGGAAAGAGCCCATCAGAACCAAGACAACAGAGAGTAGAAGGCGGACGGAGGCTGGTGTAGTCAAAACACTGAGAGAGATGGGAACAACCTAAATCATCTTCATCGATTCATTTCCCTTCCTTCTCTTCCTCTAACCCACGTGGGGAGCCTGCCCAGAGAAGACAATAATGATTTGGTTCAAAGGACAAGGTAAAGCCAGCCACGAAGAGGTTAGGAAAGTGAATTCCAGAAAGAGGGACTGGCCTGTTCAACGGCCTGGACAGAAGAAAGAATATACATAGTTCAAGATGACAGGCACACAGAGAGCCTAGAGATGAACGCACGGGGCAGGGGTGGCGGGTAGCAGCGGGGAGAAAAGACTTTCTGTGCCAAACTCAGAAGTTTTATTTTTTCCTGAAAATGAAGAAGAATCACTGAAGGATTTTAGGCTGAAAAATGATGTGGTCCTATTTTCATTTCGGGAATGAGGTCTCTAGCAACGAACGTGAAGGACAGGTTAGATCAGAGTGGTGGGGACAGAAAGGACAGCTAGGGAAAGATAGCAGAGTCCGGGGAGGGGAGGGTAACCCACAGTGATGGCAGGGGCGGAGCGGTGGGAAAGACCAGAATGGCGCCCACCACACCTGGCCGGTGCTCAGAGTCACCGGGCACCTGTGAACTGCACACCGATCAGACCACAGTGCGGAGAGCCCAGCGGCACAGGGCGAGATGGACAGGGGAGCGGGCGACGGACACCGCGAGGATGCTGGCAGGCAAAGAGGAGTCTGCGTCCTCAGGGGCTGGGAGCGGCTGGTCATGCCGTCCTCCAGCAGAAGGCCGCCAAAGGATGGGGAAAGGGTGCTTGACGCCTCGGGTGTGAGATGCCCCTGGAGCCACCAAGAAGGCAGCAGCTGGACCCTTAATCCGGGGCCGAGACGAGAACGTGGAATCGGAGGGGGTCCTGAGCAGGCGGATGGGGGCCGAGGCTCAGACGGAGTGCAGGTCCCCCAGCGGGGACGCGGTGTAGGCGGTGGGAGTGAGGGGAAAGGGGGCGGAGGGCGGCCCCGGGGCTGAGCTGGCAGACGGAGCAGCCAGGGAGCCAGGGAGAGAACAGCCAGCAAAGTCGAAAAGCTTCCAGGAGAGAAGCCGGAGAAGGACTCTCAGAAAAGGATGGGGCTTCCCTGGTGGCGCAGTGGTTGAGAGTCCGCCTGCCGATGCAGGGGACGCGGGTTCGTGCCCCGGTCCGGGAAGACCCCACGTGCCACACACACACACACACACACACACACACACACACACACACACACACACAGCTGGGCGCCCCCAGTGTGAGCATCTGGGAAGGGGGCTCTTGTTCTTGACGTGAACCAGGGCCCCTGGTCTACACAGTCCTAAATCTCTCAGCGGGGCTGGGGAAACTCCAGTGGGGAATAGACTGCCCGCCTGAGGTGAACTCAGATACTAAGAACACAGTCCAAAACGTAACTATTTCCCTTTTACCCTTCGTGACTTTCCATTCATTATTTTTATAAGCACTTTATGATCTTGCAAAGGTTGTATTCTTTGTGTAAACCCCTAGTGAACCTGCGTTTCATCTCAGACTAAACTTATGTGCGAACAAGAGCTCCTTGTGCATCCAGGCTCCACTTCACAGACCCCCTTGTTCACATCTGTGGGAAACCCCTCGTTTCCGAGGCTCCAGAATTTGGCTCTAGGTGATGATTTTCCAGCTTGTTATTCCCAAACCCCATCACTTTTAGGACACACCCGGGTCCCTCACCCCTTTAGTGGATCCTTCCCTGCAGACATCCACGTCCCCGTGGAAGTAGAGGTCCTCACACAAAATGCACACGTGTGAACCCTGACAGATCACCGTCATTTCTGTCTTCTGCAATGACCCTGATCTACCGAATTGTTTCATTTATTGCTAAGCATTTTAGGGAGCAGACAGCCTGCGTCCGACCCTGGGGCTCAGTGCTTCGCACCCCCGTGCGCCATATCCATAAACCCAGCCCTGTGCTGCCTGGGGGTGAGGTGAGATGCCCGCCCTCCACTGTATCACGAGAACCCAAATCCACCCATCACTCACACACACTCCTCTGAGTGATGTGTCCACACCTCGTCCGCTTCTCGTCCCTGGATGTAGGAAAAGAGGAAAGAGCCCATCAGAACCAAGACAACAGAGAGTAGAAGGCGGACGGAGGCTGGTGTAGTCAAAACACTGAGAGAGATGGGAACAACCTAAATCATCTTCATCGATTCATTTCCCTTCCTTCTCTTCCTCTAACCCACGTGGGGAGCCTGCCCAGAGAAGACAATAATGATTTGGTTCAAAGGACAAGGTAAAGCCAGCCACGAAGAGGTTAGGAAAGTGAATTCCAGAAAGAGGGACTGGCCTGTTCAACGGCCTGGACAGAAGAAAGAATATACATAGTTCAAGATGACAGGCACACAGAGAGCCTAGAGATGAACGCACGGGGCAGGGGTGGCGGGTAGCAGCGGGGAGAAAAGACTTTCTGTGCCAAACTCAGAAGTTTTATTTTTTCCTGAAAATGAAGAAGAATCACTGAAGGATTTTAGGCTGAAAAATGATGTGGTCCTATTTTCATTTCGGGAATGAGGTCTCTAGCAACGAACGTGAAGGACAGGTTAGATCAGAGTGGTGGGGACAGAAAGGACAGCTAGGGAAAGATAGCAGAGTCCGGGGAGGGGAGGGTAACCCACAGTGATGGCAGGGGCGGAGCGGTGGGAAAGACCAGAATGGCGCCCACCACACCTGGCCGGTGCTCAGAGTCACCGGGCACCTGTGAACTGCACACCGATCAGACCACAGTGCGGAGAGCCCAGCGGCACAGGGCGAGATGGACAGGGGAGCGGGCGACGGACACCGCGAGGATGCTGGCAGGCAAAGAGGAGTCTGCGTCCTCAGGGGCTGGGAGCGGCTGGTCATGCCGTCCTCCAGCAGAAGGCCGCCAAAGGATGGGGAAAGGGTGCTTGACGCCTCGGGTGTGAGATGCCCCTGGAGCCACCAAGAAGGCAGCAGCTGGACCCTTAATCCGGGGCCGAGACGAGAACGTGGAATCGGAGGGGGTCCTGAGCAGGCGGATGGGGGCCGAGGCTCAGACGGAGTGCAGGTCCCCCAGCGGGGACGCGGTGTAGGCGGTGGGAGTGAGGGGAAAGGGGGCGGAGGGCGGCCCCGGGGCTGAGCTGGCAGACGGAGCAGCCAGGGAGCCAGGGAGAGAACAGCCAGCAAAGTCGAAAAGCTTCCAGGAGAGAAGCCGGAGAAGGACTCTCAGAAAAGGATGGGGCTTCCCTGGTGGCGCAGTGGTTGAGAGTCCGCCTGCCGATGCAGGGGACGCGGGTTCGTGCCCCGGTCCGGGAAGACCCCACGTGCCACAGAGCGGCTGGGCCCGTGAGCCATGGCCGCTGAGCCTGCGCATCCAGAGCCTGTGCTCCGCAACGGGAGAGGCCACGACAGTGAGAGGCCCGCGTACAGCAAAAAAAAAAAAGA